TTTCAATTTTATTGGCAATATTGTTGAAGAAATCAGAAATCCAACTCTGAGGTATAGGACAATGGTACCAAAACTCTCTGATAAGCAACAGGTTCTCTTAAATAATTTTTGGAACATTCAAATCAAATAGCCAAGCATGAGGTTAGGTCATGAAAAACTAATTAAAGCCTTAAAACATGAGTTTGATAGTTTTACTTTCAATTTCCATCAAAGCCAACATCATATTCATTCTCTTGAGCACAACCTTCAAGTCATTTCTAGAGATCATGAGTCATTACTTAGTAAGTTTACCAAAATGAATCAAGAACTCCAATCCCTTATAATGCAGTAAAAGACAAGTGACATCCTGAAAAAAGAATTGAAAATAGGTTTGAAAACTGATCAACATAAGAATAAAGAAAAAGAAGTTATTGAACTCATAGAACAAGAGGCTAATGTGCCCATATAAGAGATTAAGATTGAGTTCTTAGAAAAAGATATTGAAATGGAACAACATCAAAATAATGAGCTAGGATTAACATGAAAGATTTTAGACCATGTCATTTTAGTTATGAGCATTGAAAAAAGCATAATGTAGTAAAAGTTACCCTGGCCTTACTATTAAAGTTTGACTACTTTGATAAAATCTTTATTAACTATATTTCCCAACTAAAATCATACCCTGAAAAGCTTACAAAAGTAACAAAATATTATCTAGAGCAGTGGAAAGAAATTCGCATAAGTTTTTATGAGTAGTCATCCAAACTGGTATGCACATATGCATAAGGAGAAAACTAGACATATAACCATGATTAATGAAGAGTCCTTTAGACTATCCCCTATCTCCTCACACAGGTGGACTCATTCATACAAAAATATTCTAAAATATTGAAGGATCCAAATGTTCATCTTAGACGAATTTGAATATTTTAGGTATGATATGTTACTAGTAGTAGAAGAAGAAGAAATACATATTTACAGTAAAACAAAACTCAATCATCAGTCCTACTGGAAACCTCAAATTTTCAAAGAAGAAAAAACAAACATGTATTACAAGGTGAAAGAAGATAGAGAAAGTGATGCAGAGCTACTGGAAGGCGATAAACAGTACTGGAACAACTTGACAGAAAAAAAGCTGCATAATATTGACAACACGATGGAAGCATGAAAAGCTGGCAGTAAATCAGCATAAGTTGAATAACATCATATAAATAATGTATTTTCAGACAGAAATGTCAACATCATTGTGGACTCCACTACAATAATGAAATAATGATATAAAAGTAAATAAAGAAAAGTACTTGATCTATTGTGGACTTTTCATACACAAAATGTCATTTTGATCAAGAATAAATAGTGCTATCCCCTTTTTGTTAAAACTCTAAAAAAAAAAAAATTTGAAAAGAGAGGTAGAGTTTAAAGTTTACCCAATTTCGAATAAACTTTTAAATTTTTGTTAAAATTGGCAGATTTCGTTAATACTTCTGACATATCCGTTAAATTATTATATCCGTCTAAATTAATGTTTGACATTCCCTAAAATTTCATTTTAAATTTCTATCGAAATCAACTGATATTGATATCGATATTTACACAAATATTCATTTTGATATTTCTATTGATCCAAGGACGTTGAGGATGTGCAAAAAATGTAGTAGCACAAGACTTCCGAATTTATGAGGTGCCCCAAAATTTTTTATCTTTCTATATATTACATATGCATATAAATTTTCTAATAAAAAATTTAAAACTGAAAAAAAAAATCACCATCAATTTAATTTGGGTTTTATTACAAATGGTCTCTGAAATTGACCCTCACCGTCAAGATGATCTCTAAAATTGAAAATCAATCAATGTAATCCTTAAAAATAGATGTTGCAAATCAATATGGTTATTCTGTCACAATTCTTTTAAAATTTTGTTAAGTGATAATGTGATACATAAATGGGCCCCATAAGTTATTTTCTCTCATAAATGGTCCTTGAAATTGACCTACGACATCAAAATGGTCCTTAAAATTGACCCATAACATCAAAATGGTCTCTGAAATTGACCCGCGACATCAAAATGGTTCCTGAAATTCAAAATTGATCAATGTAGTCATGCAAATAAATGTCTCAAACCAATGTAGTCATTCCGTTACAATTTTGTTAAAAATTCTGTTATGTGCCGATGTGACACATAAATAGGCCACACAAGTCTAATTAAATTAAAAAAAAATACAAATAGGCTTAATAATTTAATAGTTAATAAAAAAATTGTCAACCCAAAAATCCAGTCCTGCAATCACCTCTGATCCTATACAACATTTCTCTACCTCATTCGCTCTCTATTCTCAAAAGAAAAAAAAAAAAAAAATTCTCAATACACTCATCTTTACACACTTCGACATCCTTCACCGAATTGAACCTGGATCGAGATCACATTTGGTGACAGCTTGGCCTATTGGCAACGACTTTTGGAACATAACCATTAACATTTGGGTGATCAACATCAGCACAACCTTTAATCTTAAAGAGCTTGTTTGATGCTTTCCTGATGGTCTGGTGATGCAAAGAACGACGAGGTTTGCCTTTAGACAATGAGGTTATAACCGATGTGTGTATATTGTTGGTTGAAAACTATTTCCACACCCCTTCTTAGGCCTTGGTTAAGCCTTATACATTTGAGAATTTATGGAAGAGATCTCTATTCAGAGTAGGCCCTACTATAAGAAATTTTTTTTTTATTGTGCAAAAAGGTATTTAGACAAAATTTTTAATTATTGAACCCATATTAGCACATAATAATTTTTTTTTGTTTTATTGAATTGTGACGAAAAAATTATATTGATTTGCAACACTTATTTTCAAATACTACATTGATTGTATTCAATTTTAGGGACGATATTGATGATGTGGGTCAATTTCAGGGATCATCTTGATGGTGTGGGTCAATTTCAGGAATCATCTTGATGGTGTAGGTCAATTTTAAGAACCATTTGTGATAAAAACTAGTAAATCTTGTGGGGCTCATTTATGTGCCACATCAACATTTAATGAAAATTTTAACAGAATTGTGATAAAATAATCACATTGATTTGCGATACCTATTTTCAGGGACTACATTGATTGAATTTTAATTTCAGGAATCATCTTGATGGTGATGGTTAATTTCAATGACCATTTGTGATAAATTTTTTTTATCACAATTAATTAAGTGGAGCTTATACTTAATATATTAACTTTCCACCTTTATCTAGCAATAGAAAAAACTTGTGTATTACTTGCCACGCGTACATTCTGACAACAACAAGAAAGCGAGGCGTGTATTTGTCTCCCCACTTTTGCCACAACTTCCACATCCACCTTAGGACTCCATGGAGACTTGAGTATATTGATAACATTCTAAACTTTCTTCACTTTTTTTTAGTAATAAAAAATTAACCTGTGTATCTTTCCGTCACAAATACAAGCGTATTTTCGTATCTATCCTTTAGTCATGCTCTATCTTTTCATGGTTGAACCCTAAATCATGATTCATGGCAATTGGATATTATTCAATTTGTAAAAGTGGGATACTGATTTTATTAACTTCTTGAGCTTTGTATAAATATATTGTCCAAACAATAAATATGTTGTTCACCAAAACAAAACAATAAATATGTTTTTAAATAAGAAGAATTTTTTTTTTTTAAAATTTGCACAAGATCTCAAAATATTAAAGACAGCCCTGTATGATGTCGATATTTTCTATTGTCGAAATCGATACTAATATACTACGTTATGCCACGTTTACGTAAAATGATTTTCGTCAAGTGAGTTAATAAAGGTAGAATGACTTAATTAGCCTTGTGCATGACGTGGACTTTAATTAATGGGGTATTGTTTCGTACAATTCAAATACATTTTTCTTATAAAAACAAACGCAATGCAAAATACAGGAAAAATTGTGTCCCCTCTATCGAAGTCCTTCCTCTGCCCAGTTCTTCTGATTCGCGTGCCTCCACATCCAATCTCCATCTCCCGTTGCTTTCTATGCTGTCCGCATTGAGAATTTTCGAAGCTGCTCTCCGGTTTTGATCGATGCCAATTGAGGAAAAGAGTGTGGAGGATTTAGGGCTTGCTACAGTATCTGGAATTCAAGAAATCGAGCGCTCAGAAGAAGGCCAGGTTTCAAATTAAGGTCTGTATCTGTTCATCAAGCCCTAGTTTATTTATGTGAAATATTCGGAGAAATACCATTTCGTCGTAGAAATTTAGCAATTGAAAGCGGTGTTTTCTGGTAATTTCCTCTTGCTGCTATTACTGTTTCTGGAGATTTGTATATGGAAATGGTATCCCAAACCTGCTCTCGGTCCAAGAAATGATTTTAGATGTTTTGGAATGCGATGTCGAATTCTCAATTGCCCTTAAAACTTGGTGTTTCCATGGTTCTTTTTCTGGAGTCAATAAATAGTTGTAAAATTTCAGCGGTAGATTGATGGAAATTCGTCTAATTTGCGCCGTTATTCTCACTGAATCAAAGCCGAGCTGCCCAACCTGCCCATTGTTCTTGTATAGTAGTTCTTATTGTGTTCGCAGAAAAGTAGGGTTTAATTCTCCTCTCTCTTTCTTCCCATCTCCCTCTCCTTATTCCACTGCCTCCCTAATTCTCTCTCCATACTCCCCCTTCGTTGCATTCGAATCCTCTACTGTTCGTACTGGTATAGAGAAAGCCAAAAGTACGCTGCCTACATAGGTTTATCCTGTCTGCATCTATTTGTAAAACAAGCGGCAAGTTCTTCCCAACTGGGTATTCAAATGTTCTTCTGAGTTTTCCTTTCCTCTTTCCTTTCTGATTGATTGATTGTAATTCTATCTCGTTATTATTGTGATTTGATCTTTTTATTTTTTTGCCCTTGCACATTTATGTTGTTTCTAATTTTTTTGATGGATTCTCCTTATATTTCGTAAATGAGATTTGTCCGGTATTTGTTAGAGAGATCATCTATATATACTAAAACCCAATCAGGTGGTACTGTGGATGACCAGTGGGCGGACGATTCTGCCCCTGGAATTTTCCTTCGGTTGTTATTCTCTTTGGTTTTTGGGGCACCGAAATGCCGCTTTTGCCCATTGCTTCCACGCGTCTGTCATCGATGGAATCCTCCATTTGGACTCTGTGTTCTCGATTTTTCTTTTGCTTTCCGTTGCTTTGGCTGAAAAATCTGGGGATGTTACACCTGCTCCCTTGCTATTCTTTTCCTCTTCTGGACTCTTCTTTTCCATCGACTTCTTTGTCACTATCTCGCAACCATCTACAACACTGATTCACCCTCCATTTCTCCCGCTTAGCAAAAGAAAATCAAAGGGGTTCACCTCCGTGGGTTCTTTCTTCTTTTCTTCCACCTCTTCCTTCGCTGAAGCAACTAAAAATCAAAAACCTACTTGCGGCTTCTTCCTCCCGATTTTGGAGCTTCTCTTTCTCTCTCTCCCCTCCATTGAAGCACCTCCATACACAGGTATCGTTTCTCCCGTAATTATATATTTAATTATTTGAAAGTTAGTTCTTCTGTGTAAATTTCTTGAGCTTTTGATTACCTGCAATTTTCAATTTTCTACGATATAGGATTTTTGGATAATTTCATGATTTAGCGATCCTACTAATTATCAAGTAGAATCAATATGAGGAATAGATTCTTCAATTTCGTAGCTTCCAAGCCTAGACAAGAGATCATATACGCAGTTTTTGCGTTTGTTTATGTCTGATTTGGATCGATTTTGGTTGGATCTATTTCAGATTTGGTTTTCTGTTTGAGCACCGGTTGTTTTTGCATCACTGGGAAGTTAATTTTCTACAACTGAGGTATGTTTTGTAACTACTGTGTTTTGATTTTTATTCTGTGTTTTGATTAATTTTGGATGGAATTGTAACTGTTTGGTTTTGGGTTGGCTCTGTTCCTGTGCTAGAGTTTTCCTGGCTAAGAGGATATTTTGCGGTTTGGTTCCTTGCTTGGTCAGTCTCAGATTTACCGACGGTTCCAACGGTCCTGTTATTTTTTGGGTAAGTTTTTTCCCTTTTTGTTTTTTCCTGATTTGACAACTCCTTAGTTGGTGTTAGATTAAAATGTGTGTAATTTTTTCGAAGAATTACTGGTGAGATGGATTGACAAGATTCTTGAGTGAAAAACAGGCTTTTTAGTGCAGTTAAACAGAAATATAGAGCTTTATTGTAAGAAAGTTTAAACAGAAATATAGAGCTTTATTGTAAGAAAGTTATGGACGATTTAATTAAATTAATTGTACTGATAGAGATATGAATGAGCCTAATGTTTATTCTTTTCACTCAAACATCGTTATACCATTACAGAAAATCAGGAATTTGAACATCAGCTTGCGACTTCGCCGTCGATTTGAACGCCAGCAGCTTTGATGCAGTCCTTGGAGACACCCCTGCCTCTTTTGCCATAGTGGAATTCTTTGCTCACTGGTCAGCTTTTCTAATTTCTATGTAAACCATTGATTTTATTTGGGAAATAAATGGAACCCCTTATGTTTTTGCTTAAAGTATTGATCTTTGAGTGTTACTCAGTAGATATTAGATCGATTGGAGGCTACCCATTTGAAAAAGAAGAGAGATCACATGGATGATGGATCATGTGAGGTTCTCCAATTATTTGAGATCACATGGAAATATTTAAGTTGTCATAACTAAAATGACCTGAAAGCTTATTGAGAATTGTTGTAATTTGCTTTTCGTTGTAGCGTTACTTTCTTAAACTGATTAGAGCTAAAGATTGCTAATTCCATAGCATTCAGTGCATATGCTTATTAATGTCTGTTTGTTATCTTAGAGGCATATGGTGATTTAGTTGCACCCTGCACATGTGCAGCTGAAGGCTGACCCCAAATTGTTCCCCCTGAAATGATGTTGTGCTTATTTGTAAATTTTGTTGCTCATCTGCAATTCACCTTTTGTCTCTTGATATCTTTTACAGGTGCAAAACACCATAGAGTATTTAAACATCATCGGGGCCTTGGATGAGAATGAGAATCTGACTGTTTTCGGTGGGGAGAGATTTATTATTCTTTTAATATTTCAATTATGCATTGGGATGCTTGCAACTCTTTGTAATGGTTGAGTGTTTAAATTTGAAAATCATTAGCCTAATGCAGTTTTAATCACTTGACAGTTTAAATGCAGGTTGTTATATAGAGCTTAGGATTTAGGTTTTCCAGTTCAATCAAAGCTAATTGGACAGAATCATGAATTAATTAAATGTGGTGTCTTCCTTTTTCCCTCTGTTTCTTTTGTTGTTGGGTGAAAGTGAGCATGGGTTTATGATAACCTATTTAAAAGGAAAGCTGGAGAGAGAGAGAGGGTACTAAAGTAGGTGCATATAGGGAGTCAAGGCATACTGATAGAGAAAAATGCACAGATTGGAATGGTAAAAATGAAAAAAAATGAAAAGAAAGTGAACCCAATAGAATATAGAAAATGAAGTGTTCATCCAGTGGAATAACCCATATGTGGTGTTTATTTTTAGACAAGATGGGAAGATGTAAACAGTTGGAGGTCCATACCATTTTCCAAGTTCTTTATTAATGTGAATGTGTATGTTATTCTAATTAGGAACTTAAGTGAATAAATCGTTTTCGAATTTGTAAACAAATAATTGCTTACAAAATAATGAGCTCTGTTAAACAAAAATAATTGCTTACAGTAGAGAATTACTGTAAACATTATTGAAGTATATATTTAAATATTTTTAATTTATATAAATAGTTAGGTTGCTATTGCATTCTGTGCCTAAATCAAATCACTAACTTGAACCATGCTCTTTATTTGGGAACTCTTTGTATTTCTTATTTGAATTAGTATGGTTTGTTTTTCAAATTTGATTTTAAGTGATTTCATTTTGATAGATATTTCAGAATTTCCGAAAGCAGGTGTGGTTTGATCAATTAAGACCTACCTGATTTACAGAGGTCTGATTAGAGGTACGCTACTAATTACCTCACTTTTCTCCCAGGAGTATGCTGCTTTTTCCAAAAGGAAAAGATTAGCTTCGTTTGATCTCTTATTTGAGTTGTGTAGATTTGGTTTGATCTCTTAATTTGTGTTGTGCAAATTTTGTATGAATTAATTTGGGCTGGGCAGAGGAAGCAAATAATTTTTTAAATTAACAAATTTAGTTTGGTTTGTACATATGTTGATGAATATTATTTACTGAAGCATGAACATGTCAAGAAATTGTTCGTTTCAAACTATTCATTACAACTTTGCACCAGCTATTTTTGTTATGCCTAACGGTTTTGAAACCCGCAGCATCGCGCGGGCTCCTTTGCTAGTATATACTAAATGTGAGTTTCCTCCGGCACTGTAGATCACCAGTGTCCGAACGGAACTGCCCTCGCTTCTCTGTTTTCTTTCCGTTTGTGTCCCTGTTTTCCACGTGTCGCTCATCTTATTCTCTCGACTTCGAGAGTCTTTTTGAGGAGTTAGGGTTTTGTTCCTTCGTTGCCTTTCCAGATTTCGGCTTTGCTCTTTTCGTTTTGGCCGTTCTTTCTTCCAATCCTCTGTTTCTCTGTGATATGCGTGCCTTCTTTTGCGGAAAGGGTTGCTGATTTTCGTGGTTTAAGGGATTTTGTGGTTGCCAGGACGTTGTGCGTCTATTTAGATTTGGGATTTTTTGCGTTCCAGAGGGTTTCGACATCTCTAATTGGAGGTATTTTTTCAGTTTGGGATTTCTGGGTTGTGGCTGGGGTTTTGGCTGATTTACACCTTTTTTCAAGGGTGGCGTCTTTGCAGCCCGCTGTGGAACAAGTGTGATCCAACTAAGGTATATTTTATAATCATTTTCTTTTGGTTTTTATTTTTGGTTTTTCCTTTGTTTTGATGAAACCTTAATCGTTTCCTTTTAATTGTCAATTGTGGTGCTCTCTTGGGTTTTCCCTGTTAAAGGAGAATTTTGTGTTTTTGTTCTTCAGTTGGCAAATCTCTGATTTGCTGGTATTTGCAACGTTACTGTAATTTTTTGGGTATGTTTTTTGCGCTTCTGCTTTTTGCCGATTCGGACGTGGATTGGTAATTATTGGATTTAAATGGATTCGTAGTTTTTGATGAGAGGAGTTGTTTAGGTTGTGTGAAGGTTCGGTTTTCTGAGTTTTATGCTGCAGTGGGTTACAAACACGGAGAGGAGGAGAGGAAACATTAGTTTAGATTGTGATTTAAATTTTATTTTTATTTTTTATGTTCTTGGTGGTATAAACTGTGTGAGTGCAGTTGTTTTAAAATTATTTGGGTGTGCTTTTTTATGGTTTTGCTTTTTTCCAGTTTGGATTAAAATGGATTTTGAATTTTTGAGAAGAAATTAAAAGGGTCATTGGAATTTTGGAAGCCTTTTTGTTTTTGGTGAACACGCAGACAATCTTGAAAATTTGTGTTAAAAGACTAATGTTTGTATATAAAAATTGCAGCCATGTGGTAAAGAACAATGGTTCATTAAGCTAAATGTCAATGGGATAATCCATGTGTTGACTCGACTGCGTTGAAAGGCACAAATTTTTTTGACATGTTTGGGTTTCATCTCATGTGGATTAGTGGAAAAACAAAATGGTATTGCTCTGACGGATTGTTGGTCGCTTATCCTTAGTTCACAAATACCAAGATCGTTATTTATCCGTGAGTACATGTGATTTATGAATTGACATTGTCCCTGGGTTTTTTCTACTAATTAAATTTCTATAATTAGTTCGGTGTTTTCATTTCGTTTGCTTATTTTATTTTCTATTGGACCGCATGGATTAAGTTGCAGACAGAGATAGGAAACTCTGTTCATGCTCTTTTTGGGTTTTGGCTGCTTTAGGTTTGATTTGAAAGAAACTCAGAAGTAAAAAAAAAATGAAGGGCGGTGATGTAGAATGGTTAAATTACAATTTCAGTTTTACATACTCAAACTTAAGATGTGTGCGCTGCAAATTGAGTTGGCTAAAGAAGCCCTTTGGACGATTTTTGTTAATATCTCATGGGCTTTGCTCTTTGATTTCAGAAATTTTGTGCCCATCTTGGGTTCACTTCGAACTTGGTTGAGACCGATCTAATCCGGCGTTTCCAGGTGAGTTTTGCATATTTATCAGCTTATATGGTTTCGATCTTTTGTTTTTTGTTGGATCGTTATTGTGCGTGTCTGATGCATTTTGTTTTCCAGATTCGGGAAACCGTCCCTTTCAGATTTTTGGATTTTCGATTCTGATTCTTGGAACTCTCTGTGCTAAAGGTATATAAATGTATTATTTGTTTTTTCCCTTGTTTTCTTTGCGGCTGAATTTTTTTTTTTTTGGTTTTGTTTTGGTGATTTGGGACTTTTTTGTGCGTGTTTGGGTTATTAATTGGCAATGCATATTTTCTTGCTGATTTTACTGCTAGCAATTTTATTTAAATCCACAGCTGCTTTTTTTTATTTGACTTGCTGTGATGGTTATGCTTGATTCATAAGATTTGAGGTAGTCGTGATAAAATTAGAAGAGTGATATCTTCGTTATTTTGGATTTGTGAGAGTGATTTGTCAGAGCAATGAGTAAATTTTCATATTTAGTGTAGGGTCAATTTTAATAATCATTAATGCGATTTGGTATATGTCTGGTATAAACGCTATCAAATTGTAGATACACAGTTTGTTGGTGCAGCAGGGGGCTGGAAAACTTTTTCAGTATGCTTTTTATGGTTTGGCTTTTTTCTGTTGGGCCTTTCCTGGCTAAAAGAGTATTTTGCATTTTGGTTGCTCAGTTAATAAATCTGAGATTTGCTAGCACCTGTGACGCTCTTCTTATATTTTGGATAAGTTTTATGTCCTGCTGCTTTTTTCCAGCTTTAAAATGCATTGATAATTGTTGGATTCAAATAGATTTATAATTTTTGCGAAGAAATGAGAGGATTCGTTGGAATTTTGGAAAGCTTTGTCTTCATGTTTTACAAACAGGGAGAGGAAGAAAGAAAACATTAGTTTAGATTGCAATTTTAAAACTTTTTATGTTGTTAGTGCTGGAACCTATGTGTTTTGTTGTGAAATTGATAATATGTAAAGTTATTAGAATTTTGGAAAACTTTGTCTTTCTCACTTTTATCTGGTAGAGGGAACACAACTCTTACGTATATGATTTCAAGTTTTTCTTTTAGAAATTCAAGCTCTTTTGTATACATGAGGTATAAGAGTCTGTTTAGGATATTTTCAAGTTTTACTGATTCCTGAAAAAAAGCATGCTTAAGAGTAATCATATTTCAGTTCTTATTGAATTCAGGTAAGCATCTTCAGTTTTTTGCTTTGATCTGAAGGCTTTGTTTTGTTCAGATTTGGGAGCGTTTGTGATTTCGGATTTTTACACTCTCTTATCAAATCTTAATGTTGAATTAGACAGCTATTAATGTTCGATTAATCACAGTTGGGCATGATTTCATATGTTTTTCAATGTTTTTATTCCGATTTAATAATGTGATTTAATGGTGCGATGCTGATTTAGGCTATAAATTCAGAGGCAGATGTATCATCAGCTGAAATATACTAGATGTATTCCTTAGACATCATTTTTCACTTTAATTAAGATGTGTGCCTGAATTCTTAGTACAAAACTGGCTTACATATCATTTCACACCATGTTCTCATGTTTTTTTATGTATTTTTACATCCAATAGTTTCAACACCCGCAGCAACACGCGGGCACTATTGCTAGTTTCTTCTATTTCTTGGTGTTGTTGGTTTTGGAATTTTGATTCTTAGTTCTTATTCCATTGGTAACTTCTACTTCTATTTTGTTGTGTGAGAGTTATATATTTTATGAGATTTTTTATAATTAGAGGTTTATTTTGTCTTTTTCTTTTTTGTATGTATGAAGGTCACCAATTAAGAGTAAATTGTAGCAATGGTCCCTCAACTTTAATCAAATTGGAGTAATGGTCCCTCAACTAAAAATCTGTTACCATTGGTCCCTCAACTCATCAAAATATGTAGCTATGATCATTTTTGTCAACTTCGTTAAAATTTTGTCAAAATAAGTTATGTTGGAAGGACCATTGCTACAATTGGGGTCCATCAACTCATCAAAACATGTAGCTATGGTCATTTTCGTCAACTGTCGGAATTTTGTCAAAATGAGTTATGTTGGAAGGATCATTGCTACAATTGGGTTAAAGTTGAGGACCATTTCTCCAGTTGGATTAAAGTTGAGGGACCAATGGTAATGGATTTTTAGTTGAGGGACCGTAGTTGCACGTTTTGATGAGTTGAGGGATCAATGGTTATGGATTTTTAGTTGAGGGACCATTGTTCCGATGGAGTTAAAGTTAAGGGACTATTGCTACAATTTACTCCCCCAATTAATTACCTTGCCTATGGCCCAAGAACTTCAGGGCTTGCCCTGGATGCAATTATTAGGTTCTTAATTTGGATTTTTGTTATGTGCTAAGCAGCTACAAATTTATATTCTCATTTCAGTCTTTTGAAATATCTTGATGGTTATTGCAGTGCTGTTACAACATGGGTGGTGATTCATATGATGGTTCTCAAGATGGAAGGGATGAAGGTACAGTTGAATGTTTATCTCAAAATTCATATATGTGTTTTGCAGTTCAATGAGTTGTTTGCTCTTTGTTAAAGCGTAGACAACACACACATCCATTATATAAAAAAATAAAAATCGAAAAAAAAGGGCAGAGAGACGATAGTGCAAGGAAGAGGTATGAGGCAGTTAAAACCCTACCCAAAATTTGGGTTTGGGAGTTTGGGAAAAAAAAAAAAAAAAAAAAAAAAAAGACTGCAGAGGTGCGCCTAGGTGGCTCCGGCGAAGCCTTCTGCCCACTCCCTCAAAACAGAGGCGACAACCCTCACGCCCAACCTTAGAGGACACCTAGGCGCGCCTTGAGGCGAGCCTTTTAAAACATTGCTGAATTCTTAGTAAAATGAAGCCCAAAGAGGAGCAGCAAGAAACAGAATCCTATCCAGAGCTCCGCTAAACCAACTCCAGCAAAATCTTGAAAGATCCTTCTGTTTCTCTCCGCCTAAATTACCCAAATGACCGCATGAAACATTCAACCCCACATGACCTTGGCTTTCGTACCCTACCAAGTCAAAGCACGAGGTTTACTAAAGAGGAACAATCCTTTGGGATTACCCAAGTGATACCCATCTTGCTAACCATCTTTAGCCAGAAACTCAACTTTAATTGTTTTGACCTTTGTATTTCAGTACTCATTTACTGTTATTTATAGTCTTGCATACTGTGTGTTCTGAAATTGTTGATATGATAGATGATGAGGAAGAATACGAGGACGTTGGTAAGGGTAGTCGATTTCTTGGATTTATGTTTGGCAATGTCAATGACTCTGGTGGGCTTGATGCTGATTACCTTGATGAGGTAAGTTTACCCCCCCTTAATTTCTCTCTCTCTCTCTCTCTCTCTCTCTCGCTCTCCCTCCCTCCCTCCCTCCTTTATATTTTATACTTTTGTGGTTTTGAGCAAGCAATGAAATTTGTTAGCTATAACATAATCAATGATGTGGATATTCATTGGTGTTTCCATCTTTCTCATTTTGAGTGTTTTGGGTTCTAATTTAGTAATGTAATCTTTGTTGCTAACCCACAGGATGCAAAAGAACATCTTGCTGCACTTGCTGACAAGCTGGGTCCATCGTTAACAGGCATAAATGTATGGATTCCTTATCCATTCATTTTGAACTATCTCTTAGTTGTAGTCATCAATATTATTTTGGGCCCGGTTGTCATGACTTGTAATCTCTTCTTTTTTACTTCTATTCCCTGATACAAAATTTTTTATTTTATTTTTAGCTGTCAGTAAAATCACCACAAACATCAACTGATGCTGTTGAAGAAGGTGAGTGTTGTGAGCCTGGAAAAATGATCTTATGCAATTTTGTGATGTTTTGCTATTAACTCACCATCCACCCCACTCCCCTGGTTCATATTTATTAGTTATATTTGTGCATGACATTTTCTTCTATCGGCTATCAAGTAAGTTCATTTTGAGAACAAAAGGTATCTAGTGAATGCACTATGTCTACTCCCCCTAATTTTATTTGTAATGCAATATGATTACTCTCTCACGGTTTACTTGTGAGTGCACTATGATTTCTCACTCGCAATTCATTTGTGAATACACTGGGGTACTTTTGTGATAAATTTAATTTAATTCGTATGTGATAAATCAGACTTTTTCTCCTTCCAATCGTGCAACACCCAGATGAGTTTGGATGCCACTTCATGATCACAACCATTTGTTCACTCCTTTCTCTCTCCCTTTCCTCTCCCTATTTTTATGCTAATGAAATATTTTATTTCCGGCTGTCTAAGTTATATCCTTCATGTCCTATTATCCACTATGAGAGGCCGCTTGTGTCTCCTAGCAGATGGATTTTGCGACAATGGTCATAAAATAAAAATTGTAGCGGCAAATGAGATAAGTTTGTTTCTACTATGTTGCTGAGATGTTTAACCTCATATGAGTTTTGTGTTGCCTGTGCCTTAGGGCTGTACATTGTACAATTTGAAATTCTGCACTGGATGAAGTTAGGGTGGTTCTTATATTCTTTGCTTTTTATTCGACCGTAGCTAGTCTGTTTGTCTCATAACAATGCGGGAATAGGAAAGAAATTCAGTGTTGTCATTCTGATGTTCTGAGTAAGCACTCATTTTGCTCTCTTGTGTCAGATTATGAAGAGAAGGCTGAAAATGCAGTTAATTATTTTGATATTGATGAGGATTTTGAGGGACCAGAGATTCAAGCTGCTACTGAGGAGGACCATTTGTTGCCAAGAAAGGAATATTTTTCTGCTCAAGGTTCATTGGCTACTTTGGAGCCCACAAATTCTATGTTTGATGATGAAGATTATGATGAAGAAATTGAACAGGAACATGAGGTGGTTGAAAACAACATAGATGTTCAAACTATCTCTTTACCAGGTTTTTTTTTTCATTTGAATAAGTTTTTTGTTTTTGCCAACTTTTTCATTCTGCATTCGTCAATGTGTTAGTGATGGATAAAATACAACTTGATGCCGTTGTATAATTCAATAGATTGTCTTGCAGGGGTTTCTACTGCAGAAAAATATTCTGAGGATGATTGTCAAATTGGGGGTCTGGACTCTGAAAATTTGGCTGCTCGTGCAGAAGAGTTTCAGGTCAGATTTTGATAGTAGGAAAAATTCTATACTGTTTCTGGCTTTTGGATAATATTTAAATTGACATGTTAAGTTATACAGAAAGGATTATCTTCATTCATGTAAGGCTTCTTTTCTTGTATTAGGTGCTTGTTTAAAGCTATTCAAATGGATAGATTATATTTGACGGTAATTATAAAACCAAAACATGATTTAAATTCTAGTAAGGCATGAAAAGAGTGGTGGACTACAGTATAAACGTTAAATGGTTCAAGGAGTGAAATAAAAAAAAAATGAAGGCGATCACAGGAGTTTCACTTTGCAAATCTTAATCTAATAGCACATCCTAGCCACTCTGTTTTATAGCATTGGTTCCTTCACTTGTTGCAGCTCCCCATGGTGTTGAAGTTATATTATTATCTTAGAAAATAGGTTTTCCACTTGGTCCTGGACTCCTGGCGTATGTTGAGTAGATGTAGATTCTTCTTAACATTATGTAGGATAGATCTTTTGTGCTCATTCTGGGTTAAGTGAATACTAGAAAGCATCATGGCAGAAATTAATTTCCAAAAGAGCCAAGCTGCAGTCTCTTGGTAGTAGGTTTGCATGTGTGTTGGGATATTGGCCAATGAATTTTTGGGGTTTTCTCTAGGTGGAAACAGGCTCTTGGGATCCTGTGAGAGAGTTTTTGCCAAGGGTGGGTTGGTCGGTAGACCCACGAAATGGCCACCCCCAGTGCCAGTGGCTTTTTATGTCACTGATGTTGTGTTGGAGCTTGAATTTTCTGTCCCGGTATATTTTAATTCTGTTTCGTATTGAGAAAATCATCCGTTCTGGCAAGTTGGGGCATTATCGGGGATATTATGACATAGTTTTTGTTCATTGGTAGGATGCCAGGCAATACGAACTACATTACACTACTATTTTATGTGATATGGCTATATTTTCTCTCTCATTTATTTGAGACGCTATAACAAATGTTGTTGGGGGGAGCTAATTTGTGAATGCAGGTGTTTTCTTTGTCATGGGAACGTGTCTTTTTTTTTTTTTTTCCTCACTCTTCAACTTAATTGTATATTAACAGTGCTTATCACTTTTCTATTAGTCCTCATTGATGTTTACATCTCTCTCGGGTATTACAGGAAGTGCTTACAGATAAAAGTGCCACACCGCTGCCAGTTCTATGCATAGAAGATGGAAAGGTGATACTACGGTTCTCAGAAATCTTTGGTATTCATGTGCCCTTGAAGAAGGCGGAGAAAAGAGATCATAGGTACTCTGTTCCTAAAGGTACGGGGCTTGTATATGTAATCATCCTTAATAACGTAATTTTGCTAGGCAGAAGTTACATATCTTGATGGCGGCAAACTACCATCTCAAAGCATATTCTAGGAATTATGTGTACTTCTTTTCTTTTTTGGTTAAAATTTTGGTAGCAATTAAGGTTATCTTCCTATTATGTAGGCCTAGTAGTTTTGTTTTGAAAAAAAAAAAACGTTTTAGTTATTTTATATTTTGCTTTATCAAGATATCTTTAGTATTTTTTTTATACAACTGGCATCCTTTCAGATAGGTACAAATCCATGGATGTTTCTGAGATTGTTGAAGAGGATGAAGAGTCATTCTTAAAAGGATCTGGTCAAGGATTTCAATCTTTGAAACAGGCAGATGCACTCAAACATGACATTTTTTCAGCACTCTATGATGAAGACTCAGACTTCGCAAAGTTTCGTGTTCTAAAAGGGGCAAATTCAGTGGATCTGCTGGATGACAGGGCAATAAAGGACTCTTGTCTCATTGCGGAACCAATGAAAGAGAATCAAATAGTAGATATTTCTGTGGAAAGTCAATCACCTTTGTGTTCAAAATTTTATCCTCTTGATCAACAAGACTGGGAAGAGGGAATTGTTTGGGGAAATTCTCCTATAGCAAGTGACAATTCTGTTGAGAGTTGTGAAATTTCGGGACCTGATGAAGCTTCATTTAATAGTGAAACAGAACCTTATAGTGGGACACAAAATATTCAGTTAGAGCCCAAAAAAGAACCTGATGAGAAGGATCACGCTGTTATGCTGCGTAGCTCATGTCTATTGGAGCCTTTTGGCTCAAGAAACTCATCAGAAATTTCATCTCTTCCTTTCTCGGAAAGCAGACGCCATCCCCAACTTTTAAGGCTAGAATCTAGATTTGAAGTGGATGACCATGCTGATGGTGCAATGGAGAGTGTCAGTAAGAAGCTTCATCAGAGTGACGCTGTGAGGCAATTTAGTAAACTCACTTCACAGAACAGAGACATGCTGGAAGGATCTTGGTTAGACCAGATAATATGGGACCCAGATATGCCTACTGGGAAGTCAAAGCTTATCCTTGATCTTCAAGATGAGCAAATGCTTTTTGAGATTTTGGATAACAAGGAAAGTGAACATCTCAGGCTTCATTCCGGGGCCATGATTGTGACTCGCCCAATAAAGTCAAGTAATGGGGATTCTTTTGAGTTTCCAGGTCATGGAGGTCAATCTGGGTGGCGATATGTTTCTAATGATAAACACTATTCAAATAGGAAAACTTCTCAGCAACTGAAATCAAATTCTAAAAAACGCACAGCGCAGGGCATAAAGATTTATCATTCACAACCTGCAATGATGTTACAGACAATGAAACTGAGGTTAAGCAAGTAAGATTTATTCTTTATAATACTTAATTCTTTTTTATTTAGTATCGCTCCATGCTTTTTTGTCTTGTTAAATTGTTGTATTCTTGATTTTCAGTAGGCATGGTTTACAGTCATTTGGCCCAACTCTGTTTGTAAATGGTGCTTCTCTGCACAAGTTACTGTTAGCTATACCAGGTCGCCATGAAAATATCCATATGGGTAGATATATTGGCAGTTCTGTATAAGCCATGTTCCTTCACAAAGAAATAAAAAGTACAGCTAATCTGTAATTACTTTTAGTTGTTTAAAAACAGAGTAGGTCTTGCAAGTTCTTTGAGATTTTGAATTGATGATTGACTTTAGGTAGTTCTGGTTATTGCTTTCAGAAAATATGTCCATCTAAAGGTTATCTTACAATGGGCATGATGGATTCTAATCATTTTTATTTGGGCAAGCACATAGATGGAACTGGTTATAATAGTGAATAAGCTTTCGTGTACTTGTACCTGATAGATATCCTATGGGTTTCATGTTGATTTTTATTTGTTAAATTTGTACTTAAATATTGTATTCCATCTGACTCCTGCTCATACATGCTACACTGCCTTTCTTAACTTAATTATACATACATATATTTCGCAGCAAGGATGTAGCAAATTTTCACCGACCAAAATCTTTATGGTATCCTCATGACAATGAAGTGGCTGTAAAAGAGCGAGGAAAGCTCCCCACGCAAGGACCAATGAAAATTATTGTTAAAAGCTTGGGTGGCAAAGGAAGTAAGCTTCATGTGGATGCTGAGGAAACAATATCTTCTGTTAAAGCAAAAGCTTCAAAGAAGTTAGGTTGTCACTTCTTTTTTGTCTGTGTTTGTTCTATGTATATTGAAGTTTAATGATTGATGAGGATCTTATAAAGAATCTACTGCATTGAAATTTGTATACAAGTCTTAAAGTTTACTCAGTCCTATTTATTTTGTAGATTTTAAGCCATCCGAAACAGTGAAGATGTTCTATTTAGGGAAGGAACTTGAAGATGATAAATCTCTTACTGCCCAGAATGTTCAACCAAATTCTTTGCTTCATCTTGTTCGCACAAAAATATATTTGTTGCCACGAGCACAAAAGATTCCTGGTGAAAATAAATCGTTGCGGCCTCCTGGAGCATTTAAGAAGAAATCTGATCTTTCTGTGAAAGATGGTCATGTCTTCCTAATGGAGTAAGCAGCTTGAAATACCTGTTTTCAATCTTTTATGTGGTAGCCTCATTTCCAGTACGAGATGGTTTGCTTGCATTTTAATTTGGTCAAAATTACATCTTGCATATAGAAGAGTGTCATGTTAGTTTTCATTTCTTTGGTAACAAAACTTCATTACTACCATAAATACGATATAAATTTCGTGAACATGCAAGTGGTTCTTTTGCCTTGCATGAACTTTTTTCAACTGTACAGATATGAAGGTGTGCCTAAACCCTTGTTTTTATTATCTTTTCAGGTACTGTGAAGAAAGACCTTTACTTTTGAGCAATGCTGGTATGGGTGCAAGATTATGTACTTATTACCAAAAATCAGCCCCAGATGATCAAACTGCTTCTTTGTTACGCAATGATAACAACAGTTTGGGACATGTCATTTCACTAAATCCAGCTGATAAATCACCTTTTCTTGGAGATACAAAAGCTGGTTGCAGTCAGTCATCTCTTGAAACAAATATGTATAGAGCACCTGTATTTTCTCATAAGGTGCCCTCAACTGATTATTTGTTAGTTCGTTCTGCAAAGGGGAAGCTTTCAATTAGACGTATTGACCGCCTAAATGTTGTTGGGCAACAGGTTTGTTCGAGCGAAACTCTTCATTGCATAACCCTTGAATATTTTTATTTTTCCTCTTGGGTTTTCCAAATTGTTTTTTTCCCTTCACTCTCCTGTTGGTGATTTATTGGTGATGGGTTTTAATCCCTTGATTGATCTTGCTTTTCGATGGGGTATGATGTTATGCAAACCAATTGGATGACATGTGAATTTGGGGTATTGTAGTAAACGAATTATAATGTTAGCTTGGTCTGATTTTGTTTAGAGTAGACGGCTGTATTGGAGCCTCTTTCTATTGGCATTGGATGTGAAAAATGGTACTGAAACTTTGGATGACCTAAATGCTTTGTTGCCCTCATTACATGTCGTTGTGGTGAAGTTTTTCAGGGAGGGGTATTGTTGTAGACAAATTATAAAGTTAGCTTGGTTTGATTTTGTTCATAGTAGATGGCAATATTGGAGCCTTTTTTCCCATTGGTACCAGATGTGCACAATGCTACTGAAGTGTTTTGTTGCTCCCATTACATGTCCTTATGGTGAAGTTTTTTCAGGGAGGCCAGGTGAATTGGTGAAGTTTTTTTAGGTGTAGTGTTGGGGAGATGTACTGTGATGTCAATTTTTTGGGTGGTGTTGATGGAGCGGAATTAAAAATAATTTAAGGGAGTGAGGGATGAAGTTTGCTTTTGTCCTTCCCTTTGGATGCTGCTATATGCAGAGTGCAGGGATATTTATTTTCAGGCTTTATGTTATGATTTGTGTGGTGCCATTTTTATATTTAATTCCACTCATGTTTTCTAATATTTTTTCTAGGTTAGTTGCATAAATGGTCCCTGAACTTTTCCTCATGTTTCATTTTTGCGCCGGAATTTTTGTTTACTTAATTGGGTGTGATTGTGGTGTCAAACAGACTCTTTTCCGTTAACCCTGTCCAGTTTTCTGTTAAATTTAGGGGTAAATTTTGAAATTCATCCTACAATCTTAAAGCTGAATAGAACATTAAAAAAAAAAAAAGAAAAAAAAAACTGAAATAAATATTGTGGGGATTAGGCTCACAATAGGTTGTCTTTGGGAAGGGGTGGTTAATTTCCGACCAAAGTACACTGGAACTCCCTCTCTTTAACTCCGTCAACTTTCTTGACCTTCCCCAACACGGGTTTAGACGGTACCACCACAATATGACGGACCAGAAGCTCCAGGACCAGATCTCTAAAATTCTCACTTCTGTGACCTCACTAATGAACTCGACTCTCTGCCAATGAGAACGCTCATCTCTGATCGACAATCAAATTGAAGTTTAATCTTTTGCATTTCGCTCTGTATTCCTTATCCACCTTTTGTACATATTTTCCTTAAAATTCAATATCTTGTTTCCTTGCAATAAAATATACATATATACTATATAGTGATAGTGATAAGACTACAGAAGGGTCGGGTGAAGAAACTGTGAATGGCAATAGGTCCTTATTAGTTGAACTTAAGGATTTATTGTTTTCTTCTATTATTTTATCTAGGAAGGCTACTTTTATGTCAGTTGCTTTCTATTCTAGTATTCATTTGGTTCATAAGTCTTTATAATGTAGAGTTGTGTTTTTTATTTGACATGGACTCCTTGTCCACAGTTTTCTAATATCTCCAGGAGATAATAAAATTGGTTTTGTTTCAAAAAAAAAAAAAAAAAATCCTCATCATAATTGCATGGTCGGAGTATTATTCACTTTTGTGTCTAATTGTGCACTGCCAGCCAACAACAATATCAGTATATCTATATGTGATACAAGGCAATCTTTCGAGAGCAAAATATCTTTAAAATTGACCTCTCTGCTTTCATTGTTTGCAGGAACCACTCATGGATGTAATGTCTCCGGGAACTAAGAATCTTCAAAATTATATGATCAATAGGCTTCTTGTCTATATCTGCCGAGAGTTCCGTGCTGCCGAAAAGCGCCATTTGCTTCCTTGTATCCGCGCAGATGAGTTACCTTCACAATTTCCTTATCTATCTGAACCCTTTATTCGGAAGAAGCTGAAGGAACATGCAAATTTCCAGGTGATTTTCCTTTTGCTCAGTTCTTTCATGCCAAATGTTCTCTTTTGATTCATTATTTTTTTTAATTCGTTTTTACCATTTTCCTCACTCAACTGAACGTTGTAAATGGATATGCAACACATTTCCAGAGAGCATCAAATGGACAAGTTATGTGGGTTAAGAAACGCAACTTCCGGATTTTGTCGGAGGATGAATTAAGGAATTTGGTGAAACCAGAAGAGGTGAGTTACACTTCAGATCGTTTTCTTTTATGTTTTTACTAAGTGAGTTATACTTACTAAATGTTGATTTTTGATGGGGAAAATACATATAAAAACTGATTTCAATTATTTCAAAGTTATGTGATAAGAGTATTCCATTATCTGACTTTGTCGTGGGGTCAAATTATCAGTTTCTTGACCTGTTAATTGCCCTGCTAGTAGCCTTCTATCTAGTTTTCTTCTAGGCTTGAATGGTAATCCTAAATATGTTCTTGTTGACCCCTAATATTTGTATTATCCTTAAGCTGTTGGTTTTGAACTTCTGATCGTTCTTCACCAAAATCTTATCTAAATGTAAATAGGGTGGTTTTATTGCCACCCCCAATCTGTTCAAGTCACATCCCGTGCTGAAAATACCCGCCACATACTTTTAAATTAACATATTAACTAAAATCACCCACCCAACTTAACCAAAATGCCCTTAGTAGTTATCCACCGATTGTTGAAAAATAGATTACACCACCCGACACAGTCAATTGCATCAACTTGTGAACTCCTCCCGGAACCCATAAATTCTCATCTTGAATGACAAAAACACTGAAGATCTCATTGTTGCTGGAAATTGCAACGTCTACGGCAACAGTGATGCCTACTATTGAGCTTGTGTTCATTAGAAAAGTACCAAAAATGGGGAGGAATATTGTCGGGAACTACTGAAAATTTGCACAGTTTTTGGTTATTTGCGACCAAATACTGGGACTCATGATGGACTTCCCGTATTCAGCAGAAAGAAATTGAAGAGGATTTTCGGTTTCTTGCTACTGAACAGTTTCATAGTTTTCGGTTGATTGTTATGATGCACTTCTAGTATTTAGTGGATAGCAAACACATTTTTGGGTTTTTGGTTGCTGGCCACTGAACCTTTACATACTTTTGGGTTTGTTGCTACTGAATACGGTGCCTTATAATGGCCTCAGTAGTCATTTCATGTTGAGAACATGTATTTTTCATTTGAAAAATTTAGCAGTTGCCATCAGTAGATTGGGGGTGGCAATAAAACCACCTACATATAGATATGCTTTGACTTCCTTGTATCCATCTAATGCATCAGAGTTGAAGTCTTCCTTTCTCATAAATCCTTTCTCATTTTATCTGTTTGGAGTTTAGCTGACCTGTGATTTATAGGATTATCTATGTTCTTGTTGTACTGTCTTTAGCCCAACGCTGGTACAGTAATCTCTTGTTTGTACTGGTGGACTTCTTGTTCACATGATTGTACTTTTGGCTTTAATGAAAGTTTTTGTTACTCTTAAATAAAATAGAAAGATTTCTCTTTTTTTTTTTTTCAAGGACAATAAAACACACCCTTTTTCTCCTCCTACACACCCCTATTTAACCTGTCCATTGCTTTTGTTTGATTTATTCAATCCCATGGCCAGAAAAAAAGATGGGTATGAAAATCAGCTCCCTAAAACTGTAGTTGTTCTGATTTCATATCTGTTAAAGAAAAATTGTTACCCAAAATTATGAGTCAAATTTATTAGTGTATAAGGGCCAGTGCCATTTCTACCTCGTCAACCAAGGTTTTTTTTATTTTAATAGGCCACATTGAAAAAATTAAAATGATTCTGGCACTTGACTTGATAGATCCCCATAATTCCACGATTGCATATTCTTCAAGATGCATTCATGTTTGGAAACACTTCTCCTTTTTCTGTTGGAAGAGTCGTAGCCATATTTTGTTATTCTGTTTAAATAGGCTTCTTTATGCTCTATTTGGAGAGTATATTTGCAATGTTTTTACATTTGTTCTTTACTCTCTCTCTCTCTCCTCCTCTCTCTCCCCCTCGCCCATAAGCTCGTATTTTTTGCCTGAAGTTTGTTATAGAGTCCTGGACTGCATGCTTCATTTTCCTCTACTTTTTCCCCACAAAAGATTTTGTTGATGATGGTGATAATATCAATGTTTAGAGTCACTATAATTTTTTTGTGTAGCTACATATACACATAATAGTGTTCAGTGTTGTGATTGATAGGTAACAATGTCTTTTCTTTTATCTCGTAAATATTTTGTTTGAATCCTCTGAATATTAGATATATGGATGCACCATAATTTCTATCCTGATGGCTGTTGTAAAAGATGGATAAGGGAAACAACTCATATATCTGTCCTTTGTAATTCAAGTTTGCAATACGCTATTGGTTTGATGTATGAACTCAGTGTGTTAAATGGTTATTACCAAATAGATATGTAGCTCATGTCACTTTGTTGTTTTTACTTTTGAGTTTAGGTGTGCGCCTATGAAAGCATGCAAGCTGGTCTTTACCGGCTCAAACATTTGGGAATTACTGAAACACATCCGTCTGCCATATCTTCTGCAATGAGTCGTCTCCCTGATGAAGCAATTACTCTGGCTGCTGCATCGCACATTGAAAGAGAACTGCAGATCACTCCATGGAACTTGAGTAGCAACTTTGTAACTTGTACACAGGTAACCTATCTCTTTGATTTTATGATAGTTGATTTTCATCATATTCTCTTTTATTTGTTTTGCATCATATGCTCTTTCTATTCTAGTATTCAATTGGGAATTACTGAAGCCATCAGTACCTTTCTTTCTATTTATATATTTATTTACATGAGTTTCTTTGTTCCTTTCAAAGGGAAAAGACAATATTGAGCGTTTGGAAATATCTGGTGTTGGTGATCCATCTAGCCGGGGCCTAGGTTTCAGTTATGTTCGTGCTGCTCCAAAACCATCAATGTCAAGTGCAGTCGTGAAGAAAAAATCTGCTGCTGGTCGAGGAGGTTCCACTGTTACTGGAACAGATGCTGATCTACGCAGATTAAGCATGGAGGCTGCACGAGAGGTGCATTAAATCTGTTCTAATTTTTTATTTTTCTTTTGTTAGATTTTTTGTCTATGGCCTCTCAACATAAATTTATCTTCTTTTGTAGAATAGGATATTTATGCATCACTGTTCCCTTCTGAAATTTTTTTGTGTAATCTAATTTTATTTGTTTTTGTTGTCTTGCATCTTGGATTGTGTTCTAATTCCCAGGTTCTTCTTAAATTTGGCGTTTCTGATGAGCTGATTGCGAGGCAGACTAGATGGCATCGTATTGCGATGATACGCAAGCTTTCAAGTGAGCAAGCTGCATCTGGGGTTAAAGTTGATGCAAACACTATCAGTAAATATGCACGTGGCCAGCGTATGTCCTTCCTTCAGCTGCAGCAGCAGAACCGGGAGAAGTGTCAAGAAATTTGGGATCGTCAAGTGCAGAGTCTTTCAGCTATAGATGGGGAAGAAAATGAGAGTGACTCTGAAGGAAATAATAGCGATCTAGATTCCTTTGCTGGGGATTTAGAAAATCTGCTTGATGCAGAAGAATGTGAAGAAGGGCTAGGTGGTGATCATGAATCCAACCATGATAAATCAGATGGTGTTAAAGGGCTTAAAATGAGAAGGCGCCCTTCCTTGGCTCAGGCAGAAGAGGAAATTGAAGATGAAGCAGCTGAAGCAGCTGAGTTATGCAGGTTGCTCATGGATGGTAAGGATATTTTTATTTATTAACTAGTTACATTTGTGATATGAAGAAAATGCTAAATTGGAAGATATTTTTATTTATTAACTGGTTACATTTGTGATATGAAGAAAATGCTAAATTGGAAGATTTCCTTATCCCAGTATAGGTTGTGTAGAATGGACTATGGAAAAAAAAAAAAAATTAGTTGCAACAAAACCACAGTACATAAGTGGGATTTTTTGTGCTTATAAATATTTGGGCAACCACTTTTTTCTGGTGAATGGGGTTCTTGGAATTTCTAATGGTCGTATGATATTGAGTTCTATCTGCTGGATGTCATTGTGGTGCTGCTGCTACTTGTGATATATGGTTGACCATGACAGCTTGTACACAGATGATGAAACTGAGAGGAAAAAGAAGAAGAAAACAAGAGTTTTGGGGGATGAAGTTGGGCTGGCTCCTGGCTTGCGAACAAGTTATATCTTAGAAAATGCAGATAGGGGAAAAAAAATAATTGCTGCTGTACAACCTGATGGATTCTATACTCCAAAAGATAATCCAGTCGGAGATGCGAAAGTGGTAAGAATGATTCACCTTTTCGTCATATTTATTCTTTATTTATTTTCTCTTTTAATTCCACTCTTGTTTCAACATGTAGGTCATGTCCGATCATGAAGATATTCATTCTCAATGTATGTTGCTTGAACTGTGTGTGATGTTCTATGTTTTTGTTGCAGGTGGAAAATCTTCTTAAAAGAAACAAGATTGGAAAACTAAAGGGAATGAAAAAGAGTGATACTACACATATGGGTCTGATGAACAAGAAACTAAAAATATCAGGAGACGGTGTCAAGGCAAGTGTTCTAACTTTTTTTTTCTTTGCTTCGTGTTTTGAGTTTATTCCTTTTTCTTTGTATTTCTAATCTTCTATATTACTTAAGCTGTTACTGACTTGCTGTATTTAGTTTTTTTTTTTTTTCTTTTTTTTTTTAAACTTATTTTGGCCATAGCTTTCTTTTTACACATACATTTCCCTGATTTATGTTTGAATTTACATTTACAAGTAAACTTCCTACTCTGGGAAGGTCTGCTTGTCTGACATTTAAAAAACCTTGTTCGCTTTTGTTTGTAACCCATACTTTGATATGCAGTTGTAGATTTTCTTCTATTCTATACCAATATGAGACTCAATCTGGCTGTGACTTTTGGAGGCGATAATGTGTTATACTGTTGTTCTGATGTGTCCTACTTTAGCCTTTAACATGAATATGTGCTAATAATTTTGACTTCCTCTTTGGACTCAGAGTACTTTTAAGGAGAAGAAATCAGCACGAGAGAAATTTATCTGTGGAGCCTGTGGTCAGGTTAGTGTAGAGTTTGGGTAATATTCTGCTAAATAATGTGACTACAAATCAAATGCTGATTGCTCACCTTTTTGATGGCTAGCTTGGACACATGAGGACAAACAAGCATTGCCCCAAGTATGGATACGGAGAAGATCAGGAAACACAGAATGATACTCCAGACCTGGATAAATCATCTGGAAAGGCAACTGCTCTGAATTCATCTAGTCAGTCTCAACAGAAAACTACTACAAAGAAGCTGGTACCTAAAAGTGCAACTAAAATTGCTGTGGTTGATGCTTCGGAGGCTGAAAACCTTGGTCCGAGCACAAAGGTTCTTCCATTGAAATTCAAATGTGGGTCAACTGAAAAGCTTCCTGATAAACAGCCTCTTGGAGAGACAGAGAGTTCTGAGCGGGTCACATCTGATCCCGAAAATGGGAAGCCCACTATGAAGGTGCACAAAATAATAATTTCGAACAAGATGAAACCTGAAAATGTACCTGTTGAATCTCAGAAGCCCCCTATTGTGATGCGACCTCTGACAGATACAGATAGGGGTTATGTTGAATCACAGAAGCAAACTATTGTTATACGGCCACCAGCAAATACTGATAGAGAGCAGGGGGAATCTCAAAAGCTCTCAGTTGCTAAACGGTCGTCAATGGAGGCAAAGAGAGAGCAACATCACAAGAAAATTATAATTAAACGTCCAAAAGAAATTATTGATATAGATCAGATCAGTCAGGATGGGGGAACTCCTGTTGAACACAGGAAAACTAAAAGAATTGTTGAATTGACAAGTTCTGAAAAGCACAGGAAGCAGGAGAACGTGTATTTGGCTAAGGAAGCAGCAAACAAGAAGGCTAGAGATGAAAGGAGATTACGAGAGGAGCAAGAGAAACGGATAAATGAAGACAGATTGAGAGAAGAGAGGGCCAGGAGGCTTTATGAAGAGGAAATGAGGATGATAGAGGAGCGAGAAAGACTAGCAGAGCTTAGAAAATATGAAGCATTACTCAGACAAGAGAGGGAGGAAGAAGAACGCCAGAAAGCAAAGAACAAAATGAAGAAGAAAAGGTCTGAGATAAGAGATGATTATTTAGATGACTCACGAGCACGAAGATTAGACAAAAGGATGCCAGAAAGAGATCGGGGTGCAAAAAGGAGGCCAGTTGTTGAATTGGGAAGGCATGGTGGAGAATCTACCCCAGCAACAAAGCGCCGTAGAGGGGGCGAGGTAATATGTTCATGCTTACATTCGAGTACTTTTCATTCATTAAATTTTTCCCTCGCACACAGAACCCATATTACCACTGGTTGTGCACTCATTCTACTCTGCCTGCACTTGGATGAAATTTAGTAATAGATTAAGTAATCGCAGTCCACCTGCTATAAATTGTAACTGTTCTTTCTTTTAGAATTAGAATCCTTTTCCAGTAGGTTCGGCTTTTACACCAACTTTTAACTAAAATTGAGTTGGTGTAGTATTTTTAAATCGCGTGATTATTTGTGCCTTTGCTGGTTAGGATTCTCTTTGTTCTGCAATGGAGGTAGGTCTGAGACCTTGAAGAAAAAGGATTTTAGGGTGCAAGGTTATCTCACGTTGGACATGGGGTGTATTTAGAAACAAAATAATTTTGTAAAGGGGGGTGTATTCAGAAAACATAATAATTTTTCTAAAAGGGGGAGTATTCAGAAAACAAAATTGTTTTGTATAACTTTTTTAGGCCTCGTTTGTTGTTTGGGATTGGCTTCATTTGGATAATTCACTAGATTCGGATAACGTTAAATAAAAATATGGATGCCAACTTGCATATTTTGTCCAAGTGAAGGTGGAACATGGATCCCTCATAATTCCCACAAAAATGTTTGGATTGACAGGGACAAGTTTTCTTTATGACTTCTCCATCATCTACCTTCACTTGGACAAAGTATGCAAGTGACGTCAATTTTTTTAATCAACATTCATTGAATCTAGTGGTTACCTAAGCCAAGCCAATCCTTGACAACAAAGAGTCATTTCATGTTAGGGCATACAAGTCATTCAACATTAAAATTTAAGGGGTGTATTTAACAAATTTGTGGAGTGCGAGTGTCAATAAAACCGCCTTTTATTTTATTTTATCTTAGCCGGTCTACATACCAGTGATTTTAAGAAATTGTTTTTGTACAAACCGTTGTAATTATGATCTTACATTTTATACAGGTCGGTCTGGCAAACATCTTAGAGCGTATTGTAGAAACCCTCAAAGATCGAATTGAAGTATCATATCTTTTTCTGAAACCTGTATCCAAAAAGGAAGCTCCTGATTACTTGGACATCATAGAGCGCCCCATGGATCTGTCTACAATCAAGGAGAAGGTGAGGAAAATGGAGTACAAGAGCAGGGAGCAATTCAGGCACGACGTGTGGCAGATTACTTATAATGCCCACAGATATAACGATGGACGCAACCCAGGCATACCTCCCCTTGCAGATCAGCTCTTAGAGCTTTGTGACTATATGTTGGTTGAGAACGACGAAAGCTTGACTGAAGCTGAAGCGGGCATTGAATATGTAGATATCTAGATAAATTGATTCTAATTTATATCGGCCATTTCTTTATTTTGTGAGAAAAAAAGCCTCAGTTTTGCTGGAGCATTTTTTTTAGGTGTTGGGGAATGGGGCTCAAATGACGGCTTTGACTTCGTCTCATGTCAGGAGGGATCGATGAAAGAAACAGTTGCCCTCCGAGTGCTCGGTAAATTTGTGATTGCCAGTTGAAATCTGTGTTTATGTTGTTCAGTAGCATTTGGTTGCGAAATTGTATTAGTTGTACAGTGCAATGCTTAAAATTTACAATGATGTATCGGTACTTCCTTTGAAATGTCGGTCTTTAGAGTGCCGGATTCCGGCTTGTACACTTTTGCAACGAGGCGTTCTTTGCACTTATTGACTTGACGACTTCAATCGAATTATCTTGGAAATGTAATGGGATCACAATCTAAAAGTACAGCAAACTGGGTAGCACCATTTTCATCAAACAGGACCAAATTTCCCAAACTCATGTAATAGTGTCCACTATCTGTCCCAAGCTTACTTATTTTGGAGCTTGCCCACACCTTTTAAGGCTTTTAAAAGTGATGATATTGCTTTTGCACCCTGTTTGGTGTTCTGAAAGAAAAAAACATTTTCAGTGTGCCTGTAATAGAGGATATTTTTAAGTGTGCCTGAAACAGAAGATAGTGCGTCATTGGTTATTATACAAGTTGAGAGAAGATTTTTAAGTGTCCCTCTATTTGTATAATGACATATGGCGTATATGCTCCCATGTTGGACATGTTGAAAAATCTCTCTAAATTGACAGAAGGGAAAAGGAAAAACGTATGGTTAAAAATCCTAATGTCTTTGAACCTACTTACATAGGTGAATTGAGATCATATCCGGATCTTTGTGTCCAATGCCGATGGATCTGGACGAACCAATCATTTTCAATCATGTGGTCCTTACTCGTCCATTCCACTAGCCTACTTCACACAAATCAAGGGTCCAATCTCTCTTTCTTTCTGTTCAACAGTTCGGATCTCCAAATCCTTGGCTCCGACACTCTACGTGGACCAATGGAAAAGAAGAGAGAGCCTTCTTTAAGAGTATTTGAATTGAGAGGTTTGAGGTTTTAGGTTTTAGGTTCGCTTGTAAGTGAGAAGTTTTAGGTTCGATTCTAATTTGAGGTCTTAAGTTCGATTCTCGTCAAAAGTGAATTTGAACCACATTATTGCTAACCCATTATGAGGTTTAGCTCACCCTTTAAAAATTTGAGGTGAGATCTACTTGTATTGATGGACATCACCTCTATTAGAGAAATTGTTCTGATTATATCTACAAAACATATATTTTATTAGCCACACATTAAGTCAATTATAATTAGATTTGAACTTGCCGTGAATACAAGAAGCTGTGGAGGGACTAGTTGATTTACATAGTTACAAGGCCCACTAATACAGATAGCAGGCCCAAAATGGTCACCGATTAGATTGTAAGAAGGATTGGACATACAAAACCCTAAGCAAAGAGAAGCAGCGAGAAAAGAAGAAAATGGGAGTGGAGAAGGAAGTTGTGAGGGCTGGAAGCGGTCCCAAACCCTCCGTCGGACAGAACGTCACCGTTCACTGCACTGGCTTTGGTTTGTCTCTTCCTTCTTTTTCTCTTCTAATTTCCCCACTAATCCAACTTAAAAACATAAAAACAAATTTCTACTTTTTTTTTTTTTTATTTTAATTTTTAATTTTAATTTTCTTAATGATTGAATGATTAATTTTACTGCCCTTATCGTAGGGAAAAATGGCGATCTGAGTCAGAAATTCTGGAGGTAAGCCTTTTTTTTTTTTCCCAATTTTTTTAAATTTTTTTTATTGTTGATGGAAAGAACAAATGGGTAATCTTCTTTTTTGAGGCTTGTATGTATATATATATATATATTTTTTTTTCTAAAAAATTAGTTATGTATATTTTTTGTTTGCGTTTTGTAGCACCAAGGACCCTGGGCAGCAGCCTTTCAGCTTCAAAATAGGCCTCGGATCTGTTATAAAAGGTAACTAACTACGTTTGTGTGTATGTGTTGTGTGTGTGTGTGTCTAATATATATATGAGGAGGAGGCTTCATCGTCGGACTCCTCATAGATGATGTTAGGATCGGCTGGCTCATTCTTATCCATATCTAGCTACTGATTATGGTACACAATTTTCATTGTTCACACATCACGTGGATTGGTGGATTTCTCATGGTTGGTGCGAACTAGATGAGAATCATTCTCAATGAGTCCATAAGAAGTGTGTGTGTGTGTGTGTATATATATGTATGTATGTATATATGTGGGTGTATCCATATATGCATGTTTATTCTTTTCGAGTTTTTTTAAATTTCTTTTTCACTTCCTTTGTAGGATGGGATGAAGGTGTTCTTCAAATGCAAGTGGGAGAAGTTGCTCGTCTGCGGGTATGTTAATATTTTGTGCTACCAAAAATTCGTACTCTATGACTTATCAAATAGTTTTGATTTACGTCGTTGAAGTTTCTTGTAAATTGTTATAGTTGAATCGGAGAAGGAACCATTTGGCATGATGTTAATGACTCATTTGGAAAACTTTGAAGTGCCCCGTATGTGTGTCATTATGATCTTTTGCATTTTTAGCAATAAAATTCTATAAACTTGTCATGCTATCATAATTCTTGTCTCATTTATTTCGCTCGTCTAATACTAATAGTCCTGCATTGTTTTGTATATACCTTTTAATACAATGTTAAGTAGTCAAATACTCTATGACCGATGTTTTTAAAGTAAAAGAGTTGATTTCCCTCTTCACCGATTTACCTTTTAAGACACTGAATTTGTGGCTTCATAAAGTAAGAGTTGATATGGCATTTCTAAATTAGTGATCTAAGATGTAAGAAGCTAGGAATGCGTCGTGCCCTTATTTTCATTTGGTATGCATTCGTTTTAAAAATCTGGATCTGGAAGGAGATCTAATCATTAACATCTCACACTCCTTGTTGATGGCTTTGCAGTGCTCTCCAGATTATGCATATGGCAAAGATGGATTTGCTGCATGGGGGATACAACCTCACTCGGTTCTGGTTTTTGAGATTGAAGTCCTGAGTGCGCAGTAACATCCTGGTATGGAGTTGAGTATCCCGCATATCCTTATGGTTATACTAAGATATAATTTCGAACATCAGTATAACCTTCGTGACCTCTTTCGTTGTTAAAATTTGGCTGATATATCCGTATGGTTACCCTACGAATAAATTCTCGTTATGCCCTATTATATAAGACATGTTTTAAGGGTTAGTTCTAATGCAATGTTACGAAATGCCCCTTGTTTTGAGCATGGTATGATCATTATGGTAATTGCTTGGAAGCTCAACCCTGAGTCATTTCTTTAGTTCTTTGCTTAGCTGCTTCAGTGATTCTCATTCCTGTTTAGGCATGTTTACTTACTGTTTCTGTTACCAAAATTGTGCCGCGTCGTTTAGGTATTGGAATTATATTGGGCATGACATGGCTAATTTCAATGCGAAATAAATTGTAGCGATGGTCTTTAACTTTAACTTAATTGGAGTAATAGTCCTTTAACTAAAAATTCATTACTATTTGGCCCTTAACTTATCAAAACGTGCAGTTATGGTTCCTTAATTAAAAATTCATTACCATTGGTCCCTCAATTTTAATCTAACTGGAGAAATGATCCCTCAATTTTTACCCAATTGTAGCAATGGTCCCTTAATTTTAATCTAATTGTAGCAATGATCTTTCTAACATAACTCATTTTGATAAAATTCTGACGAATTTGGCGAAAATGACTATAGCTACATGTTTTGATGAGTTGAGTAATCCAATTGGAGTAATGGTCCTTCTAATATAACTTATTTGGACAAAATTCTAAAGAAGTTGACGAAAAAAATCGTAGTTACACATTTTGATGAGTTGAGGGACTAATGGTAATGAATTTTTAATTGAGGGAGCATTGCTCTAATTTGATTAAAGTTGAGAGATCATTTATACAATTTGCTCTAACACAAGATGCACTTACCATTTTTTGTTTAGTATGATAGTAGGATATGTCTGAATTGGGAGCGTTGTTTTTGGTATACACTCGTCAGATTGTCAATGGATTCTTGCCCGGACATACAGCCCTCCATTACTTGGAGTACGTCATGTGGTGTAGTAAAAGCTAGCTGTAGTGTAAAGTTGTATCTCATTGGTTAATAAGATCCAAAAGGTTTATAGATCCCAGGGGGTGAGGGACGGAGGAGGTTAGGTTAGCTAAAAGATGGTTATCAGCTCAAAGACACATGGTGTCCTTGATTTTTTAGGGTAAGCATGGGTAAAGAAAACGCCTCGAGCCAATGTTAATCCTTATTTTTTATTTATTTTAAATATATTATTGTTAAGGGTAGAGGGAAGGATTCGAAATTATTGCAATATATTAGGGAAGGGGAGAGTTTCGAATTTGGGACTTATGGGATATTGGACCACATGCACTCCAATGAAGCCTTTCTTCAAAATTGCGCTTTCATGATCTTTAAATTTTGAGAGAACTCAGCTTTAACTGACGTTTGCGACTTGTATACGACAACCATGACTTGGGCTGGTTTGGAGAGGCAACAGTGGCAAGGGCAAGGGCCATTCCGGCCGAATTCGGATTCTTGTCAGATTCTCTTTGTGAGGATTTTGTGAAGAACCCGAAGATTCGTAAATCATATATGTTCATCGTACATCGTGCCATCAGAAATTATTTTAAATATTTTTATTTAAAATTAAATACTAACAGTACCTGACAAAAATTGATCGTACGATGTGCGATGAACAAACACGATTTACAATTCCTCAGAATCCTCATCAAAAGAATCTGGAGAGAATCTTGTTGGATTCCGCCATCGCTTCCCCTTCGTCGTTTCTAATGACTGCACCAATGTCACCCTCTCCGGTAACGGGTAAAAATACTCTGCATTGAGCTTATATTTACCTTCGAGAGGAGGGATCCAACGTATCTCCTTTCTGATAGTATCACAACAGGTTCCCAAATGTAAAATTCCTTTTCTGCCTCTCACACCGTGACACGCCTCCTTGTTGAATCTTGATCATTGTTTTTTTTATTTTTTCAATATTATAATTAAAAAAAATAAAAAATGGTGCGTGAGAAATTAAAAGAAGACAATTCTCAGTTTACTATTCTCAACTATTTTAATTTTTAAACTTTCATATATTAATTTTTATTCATCCCAGTTCCATAAAGATCGTGTAACATTTTGATACCATTGTTAGTCTTTTTGTCAAGACTTCTGTTAAACCTTAACTTAGTGCTTACGTGAATAATAATTGGAAGCCACTGAAGCCACGTGTTATTGTAACCTCACGTATGAAAAATTATGTCGTACCAAATTTAGTTGGATCTTTTTGGTTTTTTTTATTAGGAAAAATAATGAAAAAGATTTAAAAACTTTAAGTTTTAATGATAAAAACAAAATAAAGAGTAAAGTGAATAGTATCAAGATTGACTGTTTAGTGTAAAAATGTGATTTTTCGTTAAAAGTGAGTTGACTTTTCGTTAAAACTCTTTTATTTTTATTTTTATTTCGGTGGTAAGGGCAAAAGGGTCATATAGAGGACGATATAATGTTACCAACCGTCCAACGCATGCGCTCCTTTAGTCTCACTATCTCACTCTTTTCAACTCCGAAACAGTTCACTTTCCTCTACTTTTCTGTGCTTACCGTGAGCAGGGAGCCTGTAAGATTCTTCAGTTCAGATCAGATTTCAGATCCATCCAAATCCTTTCACTTTTCACTGTAAGTCTACCATCATTTCCATTTCGTTCGTCTTCTTGTTAATCGTGGTGTTTGGTTTTTTTTTTTTTTTTTTTCCTTTCCTTGTATTCGTTTTCGATATCCAGTGTTTGGTTGCTGAGAAAATTGAAGAGATGGGCTTGGAATTTGGATATATTGCTGCTTAAAATTTTGATTCTCTGGGAGCCATGAAACTTGGATTTCTTTCCGTACAAAAATTCAGGAAATTGTTGAAGAAAATAAACATCTAAAAGTTATCGATTTCTTTTATTCTACTTTCCAAACAGAATGGATTTTCTGATAATTCTCTGATCTTACATATACAATTATATATATGTAGTTTATGTGCAGGTAATTAATTGGTGAAAGATCCATAGGCAAACAATCGTTGGACATCCAGTGAAGAATCAGATAGAACAATATGCCTTGGTTGAGTTTGTCAGTTGACGTCTTTCGTAAAGTTGTGCACTTGAACTTGTATTGCAGGGTTATTCTGTAAATTGTTCGTTCTGATTTCACTGAACTCAACCCTCAAATTGTTCATCCTTTTGTTGATTTTTCTTCAAGCTTTCATGGGGTCGAATCAGTTTTTCGTTGTGTGTCCCGATATCTATAGAATTAGTTGAAGGTAGAAAGCCAGACCTGTATTTGTCTTCAATCTCAAACCCCCTTTAAGTTTCTCTTCAAGTTTTGTTTGATATAATCCTCACTGTATCGGTCTCATCGGTTGTCGATCATCGTATCTAGCTTGGCCTCTATTATTCTTCTCTATCAGCACCAGTACAATCTTTTTCTTACCTTCTGCTCACATAGATTAATCCATTGTTGCTTTTCGCATTCTGAACGTCGGGTATCCATTTAGTCTTCCCTCTGGAATCTTCTGGATTGAGTGGTTCCATCAAGGTTCAAGTGTAGTTATGGTGTGTCAAGGTGCAAGCCAGACGAAATTTCGGGCTTTGAAACATGAAAGTGGGATGGCTGGAAGACCAACAATTATAGTTAGAGTTATTGCTTGCTTTCAACCTTTGCAGGATTGCCAGGTTAGTATTGCGTAACCAACTTTCAGTTTCTCTCAGTTCTCGAATTTTTGTAAACTGTTGGCGTGGTCAGTTGCTGGCCTATTTTCCTTTAAAATATGCATTTTCTGAGAATGAATTATGATTACTGGTTTGCACGGAGTTATTTACTCTCATATCCGTAAGAGTTCTGTTAAAAGTTTAGACTCTGTGGTTAAACTGTGTTTTTTGCTGGTTTTCCGCAGGCTGAGTACTTTCGACAGCTGCTTAAGCCTATTACGTAAATTGGTTCGAGATTTCCCGTCATTTACCAAGCCAGAATTTGTAGTATTTTTTTCCTTTTTGTTTGTATGCTTGAAAGGACCCAGAAAGTAATTGAACGTTGCTGATCAAAGAACTATCTATCTCCTGTCAGGTATTGTAATGTCGTGCTTGTCATTGTAGCTATGATATTCATGGGTCATGCATAACTGATCATCTTTGTTCTCTCTTGTATAGGTGATCCTTTTAGTTGGATGGTCAAGGCGAACAACTCTTGCCCTTTTACACAGCATTCTGCTCGGAAACTGCCTTATCTGAATCGTACAAGCATGTTGCTGGAGCACGTGCAACATGAATGTTTTCCATCATCTACCAGCGAGGGGATTTGGCCGGTATCTGGACATATGGCATTGCCAGCGTCTACAGTTTCTGGTATTCGGAGTCTGAACGCTAAAGAAGCAAATGAAAACCGTGGGTTGCTTCAATACTTACCGCCACATTTGCAGACCTTATTTCCTCCTCCAAACTCGTACCTTCATGAAAAGCAGTCACCATTTTCTTTTGAATTTGGTGGTGGGATGGCTGTACCAAATGCAAATCCAGGGTCTTCTCAGAAGGGGTTCTTTATTTTCGACCAGTCTGGGAATGAAACAAGGCTAATATACAATTCTGTTTGCCCTTCTAGCCAGTATCCACCTATGGCCAGTGCGAAGCTTGGGTGTGGTTATGATTCACATAAACTGGGACAAACAACCAGCATGGATCAAATTGGTCCAACCAAGTACTTCTTACGTGAAGAGACCGGTGAGAATCATATAATTGAAGAGAGTGAGATGCATGAAGACACAGAAGAAATCAATGCATTGCTTTACTCTGATGATGATGATGATGATGATGATGATGATGATTGCGGGGAGGATGATGAAGTAAAAAGCACGGGTCACTCTCCATTCTGCCGTCAAGAGAATTATGGGAAGAACGAAGATGTTGAAGAAGTAGCAGAGAAGATGTATAGTTCTGAATCAGATCCTCCAAACAAAAGACACAAATTGCTTGATGGTGGCTACGTGCAATTATCACCAGTGAAGACTGTCATTAATTCGTTACAACTCGATAAGTCTCATGAGTACGGGAACAATACGGAGTCAAGCAACACTCTTGGCCAGAGCCAAGGAGAGGAAGGAAGTTGGAGTAAGGGTAAGATGAAGTCGAAAACAGACAAGATTTGCGAGACAGTTCGAGTTCTTGAGAGCTTAATTCCTGGTGCTAAGGGCAAGGACCCGGTGTTGATCATTGACGAAGCTATAGACTACTTGAAGTCTATGAAGCTTAAAGCCGAAACTCTGGGAGTGAGTTTCCACTAAGCCACGATGGTCCTTGGATAACCAATGTGTAGCTGTAGCAGGGTGGTAAACGTGGTAAGCCTCAGAATTCTAAATTGCTATTTTCACCGCATTTTTCGTATTATATTTGCACCACTTCTCTAATAGAGATGTGATCTACGTGTCGGTGGATCCTACTTCTGTTGGAGAGCTGATACAAATGTTGAAAAATGTGATGAGATTAGCATTGCTCGATGAATTTGAAATCACTAGAGGAGGGGTCCTTCTCTTAGTATTTAGTAAGATAATGTGGGGCCTAATAAAAAGTAAGAATGATTATGTTTAAGCTTTATTTATGGGGTGGGATTAAAGATAAAATAAGTCACCAGAGATTTGATTTGAAGGCATGTGGGGAAGGAGGGATGAGAGTGGCGGGGACTGCTGTTCCCTCCTCTTTTCATCAAAGTGTTGATTTAGTGCATGCGCGCTAGGGTCAGGTGTATATCGGGTCCCATCTTCACCTGTCTTTAAACTTTTTTTCTGGTGATGGAAATTGGAATGATGCAGCAAAAGTTTGGGTTTGTTTGTTTTACGTATGATGCGAGTGTGAAAAGAGGAGGGTAGAGAATCTTAGTCCGAAAGTAAATGCACTTGTACGGTGGGATTTATGGGATGGGTGTGGTTAATAACAAGACTCTTCTAGGAGTCCTAGTCTGTAAGGAGTGATTGTGTGATGCTTTTCTGAGTTTGTAGACAAAGTGTCTGTAAATAACTATGGTGTGGAAGAGTTGAATGGATATGGGTTCCGTAGGGAACTGATTTCTGTACGCTCATGTTTTTCTTCTTTTCATTTTACACCTGTTTTGTTTATTTGGCTCATAATTTTTATTTATTTGTTTAATTCATAAGTCTAACTAACGAAGGTGTGCGGAGAGAGAAAAGCATACTAAAATTGTCTTGAGAGTACAAACCCAACGCCTAGTTCAGTTTGGATTTGGATCCTCTCCTGAGCTCAGGGGGCTGAGCCTCCTGAGCAAAGAACGTGGACCATTGGATTTTGATCAAACGGTTACAAATTGGGGGCTCCTCTAAAAAATTATAATAATTGTAGCCGTTGGATCAAAATCCAACGGTTCAGGTGCTTTGCTCAGGAGAGGATCCAAATCCGTTTAGTTTTCCCTTTTGAGTAGACTTAGAAAATGGAACGTGTTTGTGTTTAAATATGTTATTTTAAGAGATCGTATCGTGTCAAACTTACTATCTTAATGGGTTTAAAAACTAAATCCAAACCCGACCATTAAAATTAACTTGTTACCCGACCTGACTCGATGCACCCATTAAGAACAACACATTGCCTCAACAAATAATCAAATGAAAAAAAACTTCATAATTCATATTAAATTTCCAAACATTAACATTTGAAGTCTGAAGTTTCTTTTGATTCAACAATGCAATTACCATCAATTCATTAAGCACTACATCTACATGCCACGTAGGTGTTACTTAGAGAGGCAAGAAAAAGGTGGATTTGGACCTCGACGACCTCCAGATTTGACACCGGTGGAGTGGGTGATGCTTAGAGGCGGAAAAAAAGGTGGGGAGGTTGGGGGACAGAGATGGTGTGGTGACGGTGGGGAGGGAATCCACCTGGTGGTGGTGTAAAGTTGTGACTTGTGAACGATGTGGAGACTGAGAAAGGAGACGGCTCATTTGGAGGTCTTTTTTGTATTCCAAATTACCAAAGCAACCTCTCTTCTAACACGGTTTGAAATGGGTTACCCGTGAGTAAACCTTAACTAACTCGTTATCTTAACGGAAGTTTAACAGGTTCACCCAATAACAACCCGGCTCGTAAGTCTAAGTTCGGAATCTTTTGTTTTTCATGTTATTTTGTGCCAGGTAAACGAGTCGTGTATGAAGTTGTCAGAGCACATTTGTTCTTATGTGTTTCTACTCGGTCATACACAATTTCCATTGTTATAAAGCTCTCATTGGCAAAAATAAAAATAATTATAAAAAAAAAAAAGGAAAACTAACGAAAAATTCAAAAAAACTCTAGTTTTAATGAAAAATGACAAATAATGTGTAGTAAATAGTACCAGGTCAAGGTAAAATATGGTTTTTCGTTAAAAGTGAACAGTATCGGGAGTGTTTCGTTAAAACTCCAAAAAAAAAAAAAGAAACTCTCTCACCAACTTTGCATTTGAAATCGATTTGTTGCCAATTGATTTTTTTTGTGTTTTCAAATTTTGAGCTATCTTAAATCAAATCTAGAAATTGTTCAAATTATAAAACTCACCTTGGGGAAAGAAGGCCTTGCATGCGTTTGGAAGTAATTAAACTACTCTTCATCTTAACAACTGCCTTTATTATAGAACCTTAACTTTCTTCAGATACACGTTGGGTTGGTTCTCTCACCATTTGTTGAGAATGAATCTCATGTTGATGGGAGATGGGGCTTTGCATAGGCTTATAAGTAAGTAAGCTGCTTCCCTGTCAATTGGTTTTATGGTGGAATCCCAACTTTCTTCATGGCCTTAAGTAAGTTGTCCCATATGTGAAGTCCAACAGTTGCATGTTCTCCACTTCACTCCCTTTGTATGGTCTACATGTTAGGCTTGAAAACTTGTTATACGTGAGAGGGCGTGTTGAGAATGAATCTCACATTGATGGGAGGAGGGATCTCATATGGACCTATAAATAAGGTGGGTTGCTCCTCAAATTGTCAATTGATTTATGGTGGAACATCAACTTTCTTCACCATCCATATTAGATGGTCGTCGCTAAGCAATCAAAGATGACTATGTTAATGGATTAAAGTTTGGTGTACTTTTTCCGAATCAATGGATATTTTCATGTCATTTTCATGTTGTTATTTGATAGATATTGTTGATATGTCTTTGATATTTGGTACCAATATGTCAGTATAATGTTGTTAATTTGATGTCGGTATTAGGTACAAGTATCGTCGTTTATGTTGTTTGTTTGAACGCTTTTGTGTATTGGAGTGGATCATTTTCGACGCATACCATTTATTTGATGTGACAAACGTTTGATTTAATCAAACATCAACCAATGACTTTACACTTTGATTTAATCAAACATCAACCAATGACTCTACACTAACGACACAATTTTGGCATGGAACGGTCAGGAAAGACTCGGCAATGCAGTCGCGATTTAAAAAAAACAAAGATGCCTGGCTATAAATTTTCTTCTGGCAGCCATGAACTAATAATTATTAACAGAGACGTGGCGTTATAAACACAATACATACTAGTTTTTGCAGAATTGATGCTCAATTGACGACGACTCTATAACTAAGAACGTTTATAACGTATGATTCGGAAATGATCTCATCAACCTATCTTATTTAGGTTGCATTCCCAATATCACAAGTTAGTAATAAAGAATAATAAACAATAATTTTGTTCATTATACTAAAACAAGGTCTGCATTTGACTCATCATATTAAGATGATTATTGAAATTGAAAATTGATCAATGTAGTTCCGAAAAATGAGTGTCGCAAAATCAATATGATCATTCTATCACAATCTGTCACAATTTCTGTATATGTTGATGTGGCACATAACCAAGTTGCATAAGTTTAATTAAAAACTTAAAAATTAAAAAAAAAAAAATATATATATATATATATATCTGTTCATCTTCTTCTTCTCCTCTCATCCGACCTGACAATTGCGTATCTTAGCTTTGTCAAATCCATTGATAAGGCCTGACCAGATGGACTCGTTTTAACCCTTTGGCGCTTCAAGATATTAATATTTTAATGAACAGTACATGATCATATTCCTTACCATCTTCAACCGAGGACCAAAGGGCTATATATAGTATGAAATGTAAAGAATTGAAATAAAATGAGGTAAAATAGTATGTAATAGTGAAAAATATGTGAGAAATGGTGTCGGAAAAAAATTAGAAATTAAAAAAAAAAAAAAAAAAAAGGCTGCTGTGCATAAAAACAAAAAGTGTGCTGGGACCATGAAAAAAACTAAGCCCCAAACCCTACAGTGGGCTGGGCAAGGGAAAAGAACAAAAAAAAAAAAAAAAAAAAAAAGGTTAGCCAACGAGCTGGCTGAAAGTGGCTAATCGGTTGGCCATTTGGCCATTTCAGATTCTATGGGTCCACGAGCTCTTTGGCCTAATTCTAGGTTGAAGATGATTTTAGGTGTTTTTTCGACTTTCTGATCCTTTAAACCCTTCGGTTGAAGACGGGCTAAAATCCTCCTCTCCTCCGCCCTTCAAACTCAACTCAACTCCGCCTACGCACATGGCAAATCCTAACTTCTGCTGACATCTGTAAATTTCTTGGTCCTCCTTCCTAAAAACATTTACCTTCAAAAACAGCAACAATATTAATTAGTACTTTCAAATTTAACTAAATTAAATTAAATAAAAAAAGGAAGAACCAGAGAATCAAACACGTTCCCTCCAACACCACCGACTACAACCTCAAAAGTCTACCATTTGGTCAATGTGATTTTGTTTTCAATTCGCAGGATTATTATTACTATTTCCAAGTACTAGTTGTATTTTTTTCGAGTCATTGACCATAAGAAAAATTCAACATATTTGAATTTTGATTCCGAGGAAATTCAGATCTAAGCGACCGAAAAAACGACGCAGCTGCTTCCCCTTCCACTATTTGTAGAAATCTGAGATTTCTGATACTTGAAGACGACGGCTTTTAGCTTAAGCTTCAGCCACAAGTGCTTTTCTCGAAGGCCCAAATGCCTTCTTATTGGCTGCGGTTACATGTGCGACTGGGTGGGGTGGAGTTGGGGCTGTAGCGGTTGCTTGGGTGGGAGGGGGAGGAAGAAGATGAACTGTTCATCTTCTTCTTCTTATTTTTTCTTTTTATTTTTTAAGTTATTAATTATACAAAACTAAAATTTATTTTTTATTATTAAATCTTTTTAACTTATAGGGCAATATTTAATTAGACTTGTGAGACTCAGTTTTGTATCACATTAGTACTGAACAGAATTTTTAACAGAATTGTGTCAAAAGAATCACGTTGATTTGCGACATTGGCACCACATTGATCGATTTTGAATTTCAGAGAACATCTTAATAAGGAATCAATTTCAAGAATCATTTGTGATTAAAACTCTTAAAACAAAAGTGTCGATACAAATAATGTACACAATATTTTTTTTTCTCGAACAAACAATATTATATACATTAAGGGAGAGATGATATGACTTAGTCTCATTATGGGCTAACAATAATATGGTTCAAATTCGCCTTTGGTGAGAATCGAGCTTAAAACCTCTCATGTACAAATTAAGAGGAATATCACTAGACCATAGTACTAAATGTTTTGTGTGCAGTTGAATTGACAAAATCAACCTAACTTACTCAA